GCGACGATCGCTTTCGCAAATCGAGAATATATTATTAATTTAAGAGGAAATATTCTTATATCTGTTAAGAGGAAGTATCAAGAATACAATTTTTTCGGTGATGTTAAAATAACGGTACAAAGCTTTTTTTCATTAATAATACAATGCTACATATATATGGTATTACATACATACAGATAGTATTTGAAAGATTTATTTAATATAATACGTATGTGTACATGTTTTAAGTAAGGTATTTTCATATAATAAAATTTTATGTTTTTATATATATAATATATAATTACATAATATATAATTATAATATATAATTACAATAGTAATTAAGTTTTAGGTCTAAGCACAAGAATTATCGTAATACCTACTTAAAGACTTAAGTTGTAGATGTAAATAACGCACAAGCTTTGGCATATGACGTGCAACTTATTGCCGTCTCTTGGAGACACGCCAAAGCTTGTGCGTTACTTACGTCTACAACTGAAGTCTTTAAGTAAGTGTTACGACAGTCTTGTGCTCAGACACTTACTTGAACTTTGTTTGACACAATACGTTTGTTATTTCTTGCATAATGTAAATAATACAAAGGAATAGTACAAAAAATATGAGAAACAGTTCACATTAAATAAAAGAATAACTTATAAACTATAAGCTATTCTTTTACTTAATGTGAATATTATATAATTTACAATTTTATAGTTCCTTACAGATGGGGTAATCCCGATTGATCACGGCTCGATTGGACCCACCAATCACATCTACCGGTGCTTAGGAACTTTGTAGTCTCCAAGCGCTGTGAGTGGCTCGTGTCGAATTAAGCCGTGTCCAACTGGGTGCCACCCCTTACAGATTATATAATAAAGGTTTACATATAGTACATATAAACATGTCCATACATATATATACAGGGTGTCCGAAAAGTGTGGAAACGGTCGAATATCTCGAGAAATACACATCGGATCAGCAATCTGAAAATATACGTATTCAATGTTTTTAAAAAAGCTATCTTTTGACATCTAACATGACCCCCCACCCCCACCCGCTGTGGGTGACAGAGAGGGTAAGTTTAAAATTTTTAATGGGAACCCCAATTTTTTATTGCAGATTTCGCTTCTTCAGAAAAAGTTACATAAATTTTACCTATTATAAACATTTTTTTGATGATAGATGGCGCTGTAATCAGCGAAATTAAAAATGAGTCTAAAACGTTTAAAATATCTCAAGAAATACTCAACGGAGCATATTCTCACCCTGGAGGTGGATGGGCGGGTAAGTTTTCGATTTTGATTTTTTCTTTTTCTGTCAAAGCCATTATACCCAATTACAACGACAGGCAGAATACTGAATAAAAAAGGTAGAAATTTTTAAGCAAATAGTGAGAAGAAAACGGAAGAAATATTAAATAATTAGTTAGAAGAACTTAAACTGATATAAATACATACACACATATGCAATATTAAAAAGATAAGTATGTATTACCAATACAAATTTTGCTTGGAAACATACATGCATGTACATATTTTTAAAAAATCGAGTAAAGGAAATAAAAAAAAATTAAACTTAAAAAAAAGTTAAAAACATTCTAAATAAACTAAAAAAGAAAAAATAAAAAACAAAAAAAGATTCTGAAAATCGTCCACCTCCTCGCGGTGAGAATCGGGAAACTTTGAAATATTCAAAGGCAAAGGACGCTACTTCAAATTTTGAAAACTTGATCTGCCATTGTAGGTACGTCAAGTTGAATTTTTGGATTCTGACTTCACATTTGTAATCAGCGATCCCAAAAACCCCCGAGTAACAAGTTTCAATCGAATTCGGGCATATTTTCTGCAAATTTAATCGCCGTACGTAAAATTTCGAAAAATTTTGAGCTTATAGGCGCCATTGTGAACTCAAAATCGAAAAATGAAAATTATATACAGTACACGTTTTCGAAGTTTAACTATCGGGAACATGTTTCTGATACCTTATTACACACAAATAGACCTTCCGATACTTGTCTACGTGCTTTTCTGCTAATTGTTGGGGGTCCATGGGTTGAAATCCATGTCGAAATTCAGCACATCTCGGCGTTAAAGGGTTAATACGACTTTTTCTGCAGAAGCGAAATCTGCAATAAAACATGGGGGTTTTCTCATTTAAAATTTTAAAGTTACCTACCCTTTCACCCCCAGCAGATGGTTGGTGGAGGGTAGAATTTTTGTGTCAATGGATAGCTTTCTTGACAACATTGAATACGTACATTTTAATTTTTTTGATCCTTTGAGTATTTCTTGAGATATTTTAAACGTTTTAGACTCATCTTTTAATTTCGCTGATTACAGCGCCATGTGTCATCAAAAAAATGTTTGTAATATGTAAAATTTATGTAACTTTTTTTGAAGAAGCGAAATCTGCAATAAAAAATGGGGGTTCCCATTTAAAATTTTAAACTTACCCTCTCTTTCACCCACAGCGGGTGGGGGTGGGGGGGTCATGTTAGATGTCAAAATATAGCTGTTTTGAAAACATTGAATACGTATATTTCAAATTTCTGACCCGATGTGTATTTCTCTAGATATTCGACCGTTTCCACACTTTTCGGACACCCTGTATATATACATGTTTTATAAAAATGTACACATATATTGAACTGTGATCAATTAATTTATCTACTTTGAAATAAAATTGTTGCAAGATAATTAGGCTTGGCTGTACCTTCTTCATCATTATCATCATCATTTTCAATTTGTGCACATTCCTGATTATCTTCTCGATTCTGTTCGTTTTCTATTATATAATTCTCAACTTCATCATCAATATCATCTAAACATATGTTATGAAGAACACAACAGGCTAAAATTGTTGCAGGCATCAAATCTATCCTGGACATATCTAAATATTTTAAACGCCTGAAGCGTCCTTTTATTTAGTAAAGCAAAAGCACGTTCTATTATTTGTCTAGTCTGTGATAAAATAAAATTAAAATTGATCTCAACCTGTAACATACAAAAGTTTGCAAAAATAAGTATATACAAAACAGAACAGTATTAAATAAAAAGATCATGCCGTCTTTCGGTCAAAGTAGGATCTTAAATGCTAAATTAATATTAATATTACTGTATGAATATTAATTTAGTATTTAAGGTCCTGCTTTGATCAAAAGATGACATGATCTTAATCGTAAAGTTAAAATACTATAATGTTTATTTTTTTAAATGTATTGTAAAATACCTCTGTCAAATGACCATTATCCTTATAAGCGGTCAAACACCATCCAAGTACAGGATATGCTTTGTTTCCTATTATGAATTCTTGATTAGGAAAAAAATATTGAAGATTTCTGTTGACACAATTCCAAAGATCAGAATTGCGGAAAACTCTAAGATCCCCGACAGAACCAGGATATCCGGCATAACAGTCAATGAAACGCATATCTACATCACATACAGCTTGAAGTATAACGGCATATCTACACTTTCTTGTCAGATAACAATGAGCATCTATCTGAAGAATAAACATAAAGGGCATAGCAGGATAAGCAAGTGATTTCTGTCCCCAGCCGGATCCGGTCGAAATTTTAATTATAAGTCACCACTGATGTATGTATTATTTCCCCAAAAGCATATATCTCAAATGTGGCCTTTATGGGAATTATGAAGGTATGAAGGAAAAAAAAGATTTTTTTTTCTCGATAACGGCTTGACCGATTTTGATGAAAAAAAAAAATGTTATGGGGTTCAGTGGGATAATGTTTAAAAAAAATTAAGGACCAATTTTGTCAAATAGAAATTGTTAAAAAAATTGTTAAATTCTTCTCGAATTTTTTTTGTGAGATGCGATTGAGACACTACTTTTATATTTTAACAAAAAAAGCTTTGAATACTTTAGTATAACATAAAAAATCCTCAAGACGATTGGAAGGGTAGCACGTAGTTAAACAAATTAAAGTTCTCGATGGTGCGCGCGCGCGGTGCTCCGATCGCGCTATGGTCGCGCGCTACGTCGGAAATCCCCTCGCCTCTCACGAATCGGGGTGCTTGTTTATCGTGAGTCCCCTCGCCTCTCACGAATCGGGGTGCTTGTTTATAATTATATCTGCTAGATATAATAATTAGATTCAATCCTCGTCGCTGTCTTCTTCGATTACAGGAATAATATTATCCTGTTGAAACATTTTACTGAGAATTTCAGCGGGTTTCAAAAGTTTAGACAAATATCTGGCATGTGCTAAATAGTATACTATTGCAGCTATGTGTGAACAGCAACCAACAGTTCTTCTTCCGTTGGCACAATCACATGCATACTGCAATAAACCAGAAATACCGACACTATTAGGCTTATATTTTATGAAGCACCTGTATATTTTTCGAGAAATATGACGTGATTGAACTTGCAGTTTTAGTACATTCGTTTGATCTTTAAGGAATTGCAGGTTCACTTTGTCATCCTTATCAACCATTTCAGCTAAATAAGATACCGCCTGGGACAGTTGATAAGATCCAGTGAACAGAATTTTTAGATCTCTTTCGGTCATTTCAGGGAAATCTAAGTGTCATTTGATGAGATACTTTGAAACATGAGTTTTTTGCGCCACCAACCTTTTTCATCTGCCTCAGTAGCCAAAGAATTTTCAATATCTCTCTTGGCTCTCATCATTTCCAAGATCTCATTTGAACATTCTGTATCAGATTGTAACCTTCTTCCGAATTAATTGTTAAGAAACGATGCAATTCGAAAGTAGGTTCCAATTTTCGGGAGCATTTTGTTGTCCAATTTATGGTCAAGCAATCGATATTTTTGCTTTAATATTCCATGAACAGCTTCAACGGCCCATCGAATTTTCGTTACATAACGAGACTCATTCGATTCATTTGTAGGTAATTGCTTACGTTTCCCTTTCAGTGCAGGCATCAATATTTTGATTTTCTTAACTTTTAGTTCAGCCTTGACATCTCGAAAGCCACGATCAAGAATCATATAATCATCCTCTTTTAACAATTTGCATAAGCCATTTTGATCTTGTAGAAGAGTTTTTAGGATTTCTGCATTATTTATATTTGCAGGATATGGTCCCAGCATATCAACTATATACCCGTCAGTTGTACAAATCGTGAAAGGCTTGCAAAGTGGAACTTTCTTTTGACCGGAAAATGATTTTCTTTAATATTCATTATTCATACTTTTCTGATGACGTGAATACGTCCCATCGCAGATCAACATTAGATTTTGGTGATTATCAAATAAAGTCTTGGCAATTTCAGTTGTACGATTTTGAATAAGATCGATTCTGATGGAAGAACTTAATCCAAAACGAGAAGGCAATACATCTTCCTGAAATGACTTTATTATTGCTGATGAATATTCCGAAACAAGCTGTTCATTTTCTAATTGTAAAATAGAAGTCAGAATTTTATTTGAATTACCAGTGCGGAGTTTGAAAAGAAACACAACGAGTGCCTGAGTTATAGTACGAGTCTGTCTGTTCCGCATTGATGTCAACATATCCCTCAAAAATATGATATTTTCCCATGTTAGCCCTGTAAAGACAACAAGTTGTTTTTCGGAAAGACTGTAATCTCCAATGTTGTCATAAAGACTGGAGTCACATTTGATAGAGAGACTTTCCATCATTTTAGTAAGCTCCGAAGCACTTAAACTTGACGAATTGGAGTACACTTTTAAAAGACCAAGATCTTCGTTATAAAATCGATTCTTGATTAAATGATGTCGACAACATCGATTTCCTGCTGGTATATGAATTTTAATTTTAGTATAAGATTGCATACGAGCTTCTTCCAGAATAACTGAGAGATTTGTTGTAGCAGAACAAAGACAACAGTACTTGTGAATTGAAACAGTTCTTTGAATTGGAACGTTAATTCTCTCAATACTTGATTCTTCCACTTCAAGTTTAAGTTGTATATTGATTGTTGGATCATCAGAAGTCGATTGTGATTGATCGATTTCGTTTTCAGAAGTCGAGAAATCAACATCAAGCTTCTCCTTTTTATATTGAAAAATTCGGCATTTTGAACATAAAATATCGTTAATAACAATCATTGAATTCGTTGAAGTTTGGAAGAAAAACCCGTTGCTTCATCTTCAGTTTCAATTTTTTTCCTCTGGCCATGTACTTTAGATAAAAATTTATCACAACCAGGACATTTACGATTTTTATAATAGTTTAGACATTTTTACTACGATAAATATAACAAATCAAGTACGACAAAAATAAACGAAAGCAAGTATTTTTAGCTACAAAAAATGTGTTTAAAAAAAACACTGGTCGTAACAAAGATATATAGTACTATTTAGAATAGAGCAAAAGAAGCTTAAATAATAATAGCCAATAAAATGATTTATTTGGACTTCAGCCAATTCGTCATTTCAGTTGGATGATATAGGACAGGCCTCGGGACGATTTGCCGATTTTCGGAGCTCCTCGTACTGCTATCAAGAAACAGTAGTATTTCGCGCTAAGTAAACACGCAGCCCCCCGTCGACGTATAGAATGAACTAATAGTAGTAGTGGGGGTAGAATGAGAGGAAGATAAAAGGACGAAACGTTCTTTCTCTATTTTACTAATTAGTTGTTGTTACACCAATATGCTAGACTTCTGCTGGTGTGTGTACTAATATCATACCTAGAATTGTGGATACGTTGTGTTAAAGAAAGAAATGAGTGCACAAAACAATGTTTCGCGCAAGCTTCCGACGTAGCACCGCTACGATCGGAGCACCGCGCACGCGCACCATCGAGAACTTTAATTTGTTTAACTACGTGCTACCCTTTCAATCGTCTTGAGGATTTTTTATGTTATACTAAAGTATTCAAAGCTTTTTTTGTTAAAATATAAAAGTAGTGTCTCAATCGCATCTCACAAAAAAAAATTCGAGAAGAATTTAACAATTTTTTTAACAATTTCTATTTGACAAAATCGGTCCTTAATTTTTTTTAAACATTATCCCACTGAACCCCATAACATTTTTTTTTTTTCATCAAAATCGGTCAAACCGTTATCGAGAAAAAAAAATCTTTTTTTTTCCTTCATACCTTCGTAATTCCCATAAAGGCCATATTTGAGATATATGCTTTTGGGGAAATAATACATACATCAGTGGTGACTTATAATTAAAATTTCGACCGGATCCGGCTGGGGGCAGAAATCACTTGCTTATCCTGCTATGCCCTTTCTATTAATCAAATTGAAATAATAACATATTTAAAAAAAGCAAAACTATAAATATTACAGATGGTGTTGGAATTTCAATATATGAACCGTCAATAGCACCAAGAACATTATCAAGACCCGCTATTCGTTTGAACTTCTCTGTTACAATATTCATACGGTTCACAGATAGCCATTTGATGATATCGCTTGAAATATTACAAAGGGTCTGAATAACACGTCGTACGCAGTGATTTAGTGACGATTTAGCCAAATCGAATTTGAGTCCAACAGATCTATGACAATAAAAATTCCATATAAAATTATTAATCATAGATAATAGAAAACAAATATAAGGCCGGTATTCATAGTCGATTCTTATTTCAAGACTGTCTTAAGTAAAGTCTTAAGACGCTAATGCACCCCTCTGATTGGTTTGTGACTTCTTAAGACCGTACTTAAGATGGTCTTGAATATAAAAGATCTGACTATGAATACAGGCCTAAGAGATGTAATAACAAAAAAAAATTTTTTTTAATTTAAAATTATTTTTTACTTTGCTGAGTGACAATCAAAATATAAGAAGGTTAAAAAAGAACATAAAAAAGAAGCTATATAAAAACTAATTATTGTTTGAAAATAAACAATGTGTGCCGTGAACCTAGGTAGTACATTATTTACATAATTTTCTATTCGGATTGCTTTTTTTGTTCGTCCTCTTAATCGAGAAACTTGCGTACGAATAATTATGTTTAATAATTTTTCCGTTTCACTTCGCTTTCACTACTCGAATCCAGAGCTAAAGCAGTCTTTAATATATCATTGCTCGCAGTATTTATCAATAAATTTTTTTCCATTTTATCGATATCTGAAATTAAAAGAAGCAATTGTGAAGTCTTTATTTTTTAAGATTGTTAGAAACATCTTTTTAAGCCTGTAGCGGCATTTACTTAATTCACAGATTCTTGGATCGTAATCTATTAAACATGATTAAACAGTACCACGAAGAATGCCGACACAAATAATTTACGAATAAATTACCTTTACAATTGTATTTGTCCGTCACGTGGACGTTACTCTAACCTGTTCCAAATTATTCCAATATAGTAGCTAACTCTGACTTACTCTGCCCCCCAACTACTCGGGGTTCTGTAGAGTTAACCGAGTAAAGTTTTGGAACGCATCCCTGGAGGTGCATGTTCTGGTGAAAAAATTCTCATAATATGGGAGACTGGGGCAAGTTGTTACAATTTTTGATTAGCAATTTTTTTCGTACTAATGTATACATTTAAATTAATGAATACCTGTGCATTCCTTCTAATATATCTTTACCTAAATAATCATTTTCTTTCTGATTTGTATCTATGTCTTTAAATATTGAAAAAAAGATTTTCTATCAGTAGGTAAATTGTAACGATTAACTTATTCCTTATAATACTGTGAGGCAAGTTGTTACAGAACTGGGGCAAGTTGTTACATTTATAATATCATTTGAAATATATATATATAACGCTTGAAATAAACTTGTTCTGAATCGAGAGGGGCATTATGTGATGATGAATATTTTTTCCCAAGTGGAGGCGCTCAGGAAATTTGAAGGTTATCTTCGTTTTTTTAAATGGAATTATGGGAATTTTTTTACATAATATATATGATTCCTCTAACTATTCTGCATATAAAACTATTCAGGTAATGATATCGAAAAACCAATATTTTACGAGATATTTGAGGCTTTATTCTAGCACATATTGACATAAAATGTTAATAACAATAAATAATAGAAATCATTATTTTAAGAAATAACTATTATTTTAGGAACTCCTTAAATTCATAAAATAAGACATAAATTTACGAGGCATTAAAATTCAGCGCTGGTACTAATTAGCGCAAATATGATCAATGATAAAAATATATATAAACCAAATTTAATAACTTATGGACGTTTCGGCTCCGTTTTGAGCCATCCTCAGCATATACATATATAAATAATTACCGACATTGAACAATTATATCGTTGTTTAGTGAATCGCAAAATACATATATTTTTTCCAAATGCAAATTACATGGTCCATGTAGTGACACCATCCTCAACATTAATCAATATTGTGACACTGTAATTCATAGTGGTGGTGAATTGATCATTTGAATGCTCATAGAAACAAGCAATCCACATTTAACAATAGTTCGTCAAATTGATACAAAGAATATAAAGAACAAAATGAACATATGACGAACTATTGTCAAATATCATCTGAAAAATCGAAAATTAAAAATTATATTGTTTGGATGCTCAAAAAGTATTCGTACAGTCGAGCTTCTCAAATCAGGAATACATCCTCGCTTGTTTATGTTAGAACAGAATGATTCATTGTATAAAATTGCTAATTAATGTTTATTTTCTGCAAATAAAATTTTTTACAAAAGATGTCATTGTTCGAACATTTTTGCTCTCACTGTATATATATAAGCAAATTCAAGATTGCAATGAAATCAAACACGAAATACTTCACAAGGGATACTTATTTTAGAATTTAAAATTTAAAAAATGTATTATTCCAAAAATTTTTTCTTCAATTAGTTATTAAAGTTGGAAAATCATAAAATTGATATTATACGCATTTGCTGATTTTTTCTCAGACAGCTGGCCATCTTTAACCTTCTTTGCCGCTGTCGCATATGTTTCTACATTTACAGATGTTTTTTTAATATACAAGTCATCTTTTTTTTATAAGATTGTACCATTCCACACTTTTTTAACTAAACTGCTGACTCAATATGATAGAAAAAGATGAATCTGATTCCAAGCTGTCCTTGTTTCGGTTCACATATATGTCCGGTCTGAGAAAATCGCATAAATTTATGTGAAAATACTGACGTTATTATCCGTGTGAGTGAACACAAATATATGCTGCCCAGCGCGGGGTGATCCCGATTGACCACGGCTCGATTGGACACCACCAATCACAGCGACCGATGCTTAGGAGCTTTGTAGTCTCAAGCGCTGTGAGTGGCTCGTGTCCAATTGAGCCGTGTCCAACTGGGTGCCACCCCCCAGCGCTGTCTTCAAACATGGAGACGAAGTCGGCAGTCTATTTATAGAAGTCTATGCATCATTCTGTAGAAGAAAAAAAATTGTTTTTAGTGGGGTAAGTTGTTACACTGTAACAATCTGCCCCAATCGAAGTGTAACATCTTGCCCCAACCTTCTATTTTCAATTCAAAAAATACAGCTCGAAAACCAATACATCCCAGGAAACACAAAGTTACATGTAACGTACCGTTAGTTGTAATTTCCAACTCAACAATATAACTGCAATATAACATGTGTGTTATATAACACTACTAACTTTGAGTCTGCGGGGATATATATCGATTCAAACAAAATGCGTTATTATAATCAAATGTATATAAAAGAAATATACACAAAAGGATAATCACATACCTGTAACTTACATATGCAATAACACAAGCGATTTGTACAATGAAATATTTACTTTTAATAGTGAAAATGAAGAAAATATACGTAGCGTCTTCTAGAGTTCAAATATGACTACTAAACTAATTGTCAGTTAGAAACACGTTTTCTTGCCCACCTGTGGACCGGAGTCCCTCTAAGAGGGATTCCGTGTTTGTCATTAGAAAATCATTTATCTAGTGCAAAGCCACCCTTTGACATGATGGACATAATTTGATCACGCTTAATTTGTGCTTCCGACAACGATTGTGCACCTGTCAGTAAGTCATCTATGTAGACATCATTGATTATTGCCCTTGCACCTACTGGAAATTCACTGTGATATGTTTCTGTTAAATACTTTAGACATCTAGTCGCTAAATAAGGCGCGGACGCAGTACCGTATGTAACAGTTTTCAATTCATATGTACAGACTGGTTCAGTAACATGCTCTAGCCACAGTATAGATTGCAACGATGTTTGTGATTGATTCACAAGAATCTGTCTGTACATTTTTACTACATCTGCAGTAAAAACATATTTGTAAGTACGAACTCTCACTAGCAAGGAAATTAAATCTGACTAAACCATCGGATCCACCATTAAAATGTCATTCAATGATGTACCAGTACAGGATTTACAGTATCCATCAAATACGATCTTGAGCTTAGTTGTGATACTTGTTTGTTTAACTACGCAATGATGCAGTAAATAAAATCGCGTCCTATCGTTAATATTTGAACCTTCTGCCAACTGCATATGTCCTAGTTTTAATGTGGTTGAAGTTTGGAGTGATCCTGGAGCGAAAATTGAAGGTAACCACACATTGAAATAACAGACAATCGGAGTCACGCATATATACATGTGTTCAAAAATTTCCAATGTATGTCCAATTTAAAACGAAGATCGCGGTCCGCGAAGGCAACCGAATGACTAAAAAATCCTGCAAGTCCTCTCATATTTGCAATCAAAATTTTCTTATTCGTCCCCGCGTCCTGTGGAAAATCTAAAAGAACGAGAGCGATGTCTGATATCACTGACGATAAAAAAAATAATTCGAAGAGATAACGGTATCGGAACCCCTTCAAATAATGGCAAACGCCCGCGCGATCGCCCGTACCTGCGCTCGAAAATTTCTTACGCTCGTCTCAGAGTCCGGAACTAAAATGTAAAAGTTCCTGTGTAATGTCGGAGACTAGAGACGAATAAAAAAAAATAATTGATTCAGATCGTGTACCCGGAAAGCCTCCGAATAATGGCAAACCCCTGCGCGATCGCCCGTACCTGCGCTCGAAAATTTCCTACGCTCGTCTCAGAGTCCGGAACCAAAATGTAAAATTTCCTGTGTAATGTCTGAGACTACGGACGAATAAAAAAAAATAATTGATTCAGATCGTGTACCCAGAAGGCCACCGAATGGATACGATATGATAATGAAAATATTTGCGAACATTGGTATCATTAAAGTTTTTTTTAGACCATGTATGAGAAATACGTTCAAACTATGAAATTTATTTCACTCAACATATTACCAGGAATAAATTTCATGAGGCAATCCTTGCTCGAGATTAATCTGCTTGACCATAATACTTCGTATAGTCATGCCTTTTTACATATCAGGCAATTAGCGATTGATTTAAGAAATGCTGTAACATTAAAGAACAAGGTAATTGTTAAATAGCAATTATGTACTTTTTATAAAATTTATTGATAACATCTGAGAT